AGCCATACTTCCAAAACTCCTATACAGATTCAATGCAATCCCTATTGAAACTCCAACAGTGTATTTCACATAACTAGAGAAAACAATCCAAAAATTAATTCATTTGGAATCAGAAGAGACCTAGAATAGCAAAAGCCATTCTAGGCAACAGAGACATGGCAGGGGATATCACCAACCCCAACTTGAAACTATACTACAAAGCCACTACAATAAAAACAGCATGGTACCAGTAAAGAAACAGACCCAAGGATCAGTGGAATAGATTAAAAGATGCAGAAATAACTCCAGATATACTCAGCTATCTCGTCTTTGGCAAAGAAGCCAACCATCCTCACTGGAGAAAAGACAGCCTCTTTAATAAATGGTGTTGGAAAAACTGGATTTCAACTTGAAAGATTAAAACTAGACCCCTATCTTTCACCATGCACTAAACTAAATTCCAAGCAGATTAAAGATCTAAATATTAAAACAGAAACACTAAACTTGCTGAAAGATAAGTTAGGTAGAACTCTTGAAGATACTGGCATAAGAAAATACTTTATGAACAAATCCTCAGTAGCACAGGAACTAGAAGAAAGAATCAACAACTGTGATCTCATCTTTTTGAAAAGTTTCTGAACTGCAGGAGAAATCACCAACAAAGCTAAGAGACAACCTAACGCTGAGGGAAAAAAATTTTACCATCTGTTCCTTGGACAAAGGTCTACTATCTAGAATATATAAAGAACTAAAAAAAATCAGGACCCCAAATATAAAGACCCAACTCAAAAATGAGCATCTGACATGAACACACATTTCTCAAACAAAGAAGTAAAAGCAGCAAATGAACATGAAAAAATGTTCATCGCTGGGCATGGTTGTGCATGCCTGTAATCCCAACACTCAGGAGGCTGAGGCAGGAGGATCACTGTGAGTTTGAGACCAGTCCGGGCTACATAGTGAGTTCCAGGTCAGTCTCAACTACTTAGTGAGATCCTGTCTCAAAAAAGCCCCCCCCCAAAAAAAATGTTCATCACTGGTCATTCCAGAGGTGCAGATGAAAACAACACTGAGATTTCTCCTCACCCCAGAAAGAATGGCTGCCATCAAGAAATCAACCAATAGCAAATGCTGGCCAGGTTGTGGAAAGAAAGGAACACTTCTTCATTTTTGGTGGGAGTGCAGACTGGTGCAACCACTGTAGAAATCAAAATAGAGATGCTGCAAACAACTAGTATTAGAAGTCCCAATTGACTCAGCTATTTCTCTCCTGGGTATCTTCCCAAAAGAATTAAAAGGATCATAGCACAGTGATATATGCTCACCCATGTTTATAGTGGCATAGTTTGTAATAGCTAAAACTTGGAAACAGCCCAAAAGCCCATCAACTGGAGACTGGATAAAGAAGATGCAGGGTTTTTTCATAAAATGGAGTACTACTCAGCCATAAAGAACAAGAAAACTAGAGTCATTTATAGCTAGGTGGATGCACATTAAGGGCATACTCTTAAGTGAAATAAATAGGACACACATGTGTAAATACTGAATAGTTTCTCTGGTGTGAAAAACTAAAAGTATAAATAAGGATCAAAATGTATAATTGATATTTTGTAAATAGGAAGAAAAGTCCTAAAGGAGTAGGGGAAGTGGGAGGGGTAGGAGAATGGTAAGAAGGGAAAAAAACTATGAGAAAAGGAAAAACATGGAAACAAAGTCTTTGCAAACAAAGAAAGGTAGAAGCGGGTAAAGAGAGGGCCAGGGAATGGAGAAAAGATAAGAACCAAGATACATCATATAAAGGCATATGAATGACTCTAAGATGAATGTTTGCTTATACAAACTGTATTGTATACCTAAAATGTACCAACAAATTTCATTTTTTTAAAAAAAGACCCTATTTAAAATAGCATTGAAAATGAAATTTGGAAACATATTTAACCAAGGAGGTAAAAGATCTGAATATTAAAAACTATAAAACATTGACGAAAGAAATTCAAGAAGAAACAAGCACAAGGGAAATGACTGTGTCCATCTGTTGGAAGCACTAATGTTGTTACTATATTGTGCTGTCCAGTGATCTACACATTCAGCATAAATCCCTATCAGAAGTCTGATAACATTTTTCACAGAAATTTTTAAAATCCTAAAATTTATATGGAACCATAAAACCACCAATTTCCAAAACAAGCAAAGAAAATGAAGCTGGAGACATTACATGGCCTAATCTCAAAATTAATTACAAAGCTATGATAACCAAAAAAGCTAATTGGTCTGAAGGTTGTGGGTTGTTGTTATACTGATTAAACTGATAGTCAAAAAAGCTTACACCAGACATATAAACCAGTGGAACAAATAGCCTAGAAGTAAACCACACACTGTAGTCAGTTGATTTTTTACAAAAGTGCCAAGAATCATAGTGGAGAAAGGACAGTTTCTTCAATAAATAGAATGGGGAAAGTTGGATATCCACATGCAAAAGAGTAAAATTAGACCTTTGCTTCACACCCTTTAGAAAACCAAATGAAAATGGATTAAAGATTTGAACATAAGACTTGAAGCTGTAAAACTACTAGAAGAAAACATAGGGGGAAGTTCCATCGTGTGGGTTTAGTCAATGGATTTCTGGATATGACCCCAAAAGTACAGTGAACAAAAGTAAAAATGGAGAAATGGAATTACATCAACTAAAAAGCTCCTCCACAGCAAAGAAAACAATTAAGTAAATAGACCACCTATGAATTAGGAGAGAATATTTGCACACCAGGCATCTGTGAAGAGGTCACGATCTAAAATATAAATGGAGGCTAATAGAAAGAAAACAACCCAATTTGAAATGGGTTAAAAAAAATCTAAATAGACATTTTTCCAAAGAAAACATACAAAAATGGCCAACAAACATGAAAAATGCCCAACATCATGGAAAGATGCAAATTAAAATACAATGTGACATCACCTCGCATTTGTTAGGATGGCTGTTATCAAAAAGAGGGAAGATAACAAGTGTTGGCAAGAATGGGGGGAAAGGGGAGCCTTTCTCATACATCATTGATGGGAATATAAATTATTACTATGGAAAGCAGTAAGGAGAGCCCTTACTTATTAAAATAGAACTGCCACATAACATTTGTTTATTTGTGCCAGAATACCCTGCTCTGTCCATGATTGCTGTTTTTTGGATAAGTGGTGTTAAAGTTTTGGTTGCCAACCTATAGCATGATTAGAAGGGGAAAGAATCTTTAAGGACAATAAAAGATCAAGATGTGATATTTATATGTCCCAATCCTCCATGATGAATATATTCATTATGTATTGCAAATATATACTAATATAGAAAATTTTGAGAAGTAGGGCCTAGCAGGAGGAAGTTAGGTCCCAGGGGCTATGCCCTTCAAGTGGATATCAGGACCACAGCTGCCCTTTTCTGTCTTTGCTTCCTGGCTGCCATGAGATGAGCACCTTTCTCTCCTCCCACCATCATGAGATGCCTCGTCATGTTTCCAGAAGCAATGGTGTCAGGCGACCCTGCTGTGGGCCAAAGTAAACCCTTCGCCTTTTTAAGTTATCTCAGATACTTGTTACAGTAACAGAAAGCTGCCAAATACACTGGCAGTTATTCTTTTTTACACTTTCAACATTAAAAACTAAGATCCTAAGAACAACATTAATACAGATTTTTTAAAAATTAACCCCAGAAAAAAAAATCAGCTCTCTTAGGAAATAGAATAGGCCATAATTGAGTACAATTTACCCCTAGGAAGATGGATTGGTCTGATATACTAGAAGTAAAATGCCTTTGTCTCATCTTCCCCGTTCCTATCTTTTAGAATGGCATTCCTTGCTCTGTCTTCAGATGAAACCACTGCAATGAACTTAGAAGTTGCTGTTCCCTTATTATGTCTTTATGCAAGGGATATGTATATATGTGCCAGAAACTGTAGAGTAGGAACCTTTAACTATATGCATCTCCTCATATGAGAAAAACAGACCTGGATGCCTCTAGGTCTTGCCTCTTCTCTACATCATGGCGTTCATCCCAGGTAGCTCCTGTTCCGACCACAGCACAGCTACTCACTAGCCGTGCCTCCTTGGCCAAGCTATTGGACCCTTTGCATCCCAGATGCCTCATCTGTAAAATGGCATGAACAGCACCCACCCATGGGACTGCTCAACAGGAACTGAGTTCAGTTTCGGGAAGCACTCGGAACTGTGCTTGGAACATCATAAGTGCTCTGAGTGGAATGTTGGCTTTATTTGAGAGTCTCAGATAAATGATGCAGCCTGTCTTGGTCACTGAACTGTGATGAGCAGAACCCCAAGGACCACACAGGAAGTGAGCCCTGCCGACAGCACTCTGGTATCTCCCAGAATTCATAGCTGTCAGGGACAGTGAGTAATTATTTAGTAAACACATATTACAATGAACTGAATTATATGATTTCTTGATAAACCTATATTAATTCTCCAGTAGTGCCAGTCCTATATAAACAAGGTACTTTGTTTTAAACCAAGAATTAAAGTTTAGTAGGAAAAGTGGTTTTTCTGTCACTGCAGGAAATGTAAGTTAAATCTTGGGTGAAAGAAGAGATATATGCTCATTCGTGGAAAAGGAAGTTATTCTGAGAGCAATTTCTGAGATGGGAAATCAGACAGGAAGCAGATATGGGCTCTGGAGCAGTGTGGCAGGGTTATCATACCTATCTACTGCTGAGTTACTGAGGAAGTCCTGAGTTGTGCTACGTTCTGCACAACCCCTGAGAGACAGAGTACCTCTGAATTAGAGAGGAGCTGAACTCAGAAGGAGGCAATCTCTCTCCTTCTGCCCATGAGACCCCATGGCCACGTCCTTCTGACAAATCCAGGGAACTCTGTGGTCCCCCAGGAGGAGTCAGCCTCCAGTGTCCAGCACAGGGTAGAGAAGGGGATGCAACCAGTGAAAGTGCTTCCTCACAGGCAGGAGAAGCGGTCCTCTTGGTGACAGGGGGATCTGGTAAATGCTGTGATTCTTTTGGGGTTTCTTCCAGGTTATTGACGATATCCTCACAAACCAAGATGATGAGGAAAAGAACAAAAAGAAGAAGAAGGAAAAGAGGAAAACCAAAAAGGAGAAGGAAAAGAAAGGAACAAAAGAAAAAACTAAGGTAAAGAACTCTATGGAATTTTAGACATCTGATTTCTTTTCTTTTCAGTGACCTCTTTTTGGCTTTCAACCAACAGAATCATCTCACATCTGCCGAAGTTGCAGCAGGCCACTCGTTTCCTAGCAAACCACTCTGTTGCAGAGTTTTTCTTTGTTCTGTGACTGACATTCAGTTGCCATCTTTTCCAGTGACTTACAAATACCTGTTAGGATAAGTGGCAGCTTCAACAACTCATGTACTTTGTGTAGCTTTGAATTCTCATTCCTCACAGTAAATCATTCGATTGTCTTTCCTCAAGGGTAAAGAGAAGGGAACAATACCCGAGAAGGTGACTCCGGGAAAGTAATCATATCTCATTTAACCCATGCGTGTTTATTCAGATTTGTCACTGGCGTTGGCATCTTGGATCTATTTTAACAGACCTAATTGTTCTCACTATCCGAAGGAGACCGGAGGCCTCCCCTTCCGTGGAGAGGGTGGGCTTGCCAGCTGCTGTTCTCGTCGTGCAATAATGGGAGGGTATTCATCAGGCTCGTGGGAGAGGCACAGCCTCCTTCCGTAGGATGTGGGGCTGGGGCTTGGATCGGCACCATGTTTAAAGCAGGTAGTGCTGTGAAACAGCTCCACAGCTGACCAGAGTGGGCTGTCTCGAAGCTCCAGGAGTAGATCCAGAAGATTTGGTCCCTCATCTGAATCATTTCACAATACTGGATCCCGAAGGGTCCCTATTCCCTGTGATTCTAATTTGCATAAGTTCTCAAGAGCGGGCCCCACACAGTAGCCCGTCTGGGGGCAGAGACACAGCTGTAGGTAGCTCAGGGGCCGCAGCCTTGCTCCTCACAGCCCAAGGCCCGCTTCCAGCCAGCTATCAGACCCCTGGATTTCTCTGTGGATGAAGCCACTCATGGGGCCCTGGTGACTGTGCCTGGGAACTGTAGTGAACTCTTACAAAGAGAGCAAAGAGGACAGGCTGTGTGATCCAGGGGGAATCAGACCCGTGAGCAAGGGTGGAAGCTGACAGTGGCAGCCCACAAACAGTGGAGAAGTCTGCATGAACCTCAGGCCTGGGCCAAGCATCTTGTTATACCCACTGGACCTGGGAGTTGTTTGCAATACTCATCTCCTGCCCTGGGAGAAGCAGCAGAACTGCCCCCATCTGCCTCAGTCTCCTGTTTGACCACGCCCCATTGTTGTTCCCTGCAAGAACAGAAGAGACCCCTGCTGCCTACACGGGTCGCGACCCACACCACTGGCAGATGTGGCAGTGAGTTTCTCCACTGCCTACCTCAGAACCAAGGCAGTAGACCCCACGGCTGCCCAGAATGGCAGGACCAGCTCCTCATAGTTCCCCAGGAGTCGCTCCAGTCTCCAGAAGACCACCCCCCACACCCCGGTGCAGTCACCCCTGCTGGGGCAGCCTGCATCCGAGAATGGTCAGGTGACAGCTCCAGGCCAGCCTGTCCCTGCCACCTACACGACTCTGACAGGTGCACCCGGGCTCTCTGCAGCATTAGCTGGTGTTGAGCTTCTCCCTCTGGCCAGAAATGCTTCCCTCTGCTCCTACCACCCTAGTCCTGTCCCAGAGTTCCCAGGGACACTAGCTCTGAGCCCACCTAGCGCCCTGTCATCCTCTCTGCACCAAGGGGAGTCTGATCTAACCTGTTCCCAGAAGGAAAAAGACAGCTCACCCGCTACAGTTAATCTTTTAAATCCTCCCCTCACTCTGCAAGATAATTTTGAAGAAACTATAAATAGAAGAATTGGAAGAATTTCAATTTTATTGTAAGCATCTCTTCCCCTAAATATGCATGAAGGAGTTTTACACTTGCAAATTAAAAATTCACTGTTAAGAGCATGTTCCATATGAATCTGAAATTATCAGCTACACAATCTGGTTATTCTTGGGTGAGGGTATTTTATTAACTAGTTATCAAAGAACCACTTAATGAATAGTATGGAACAAAAAGCAGAATTTAAGAACATCAGCGTTTATGAAGAATTACTTAAAAATTAATTTATTCATGAAAAGTACAGATCTACAGAGTGACAGCATTAATTATTAAAAGAAGAAGTGGGCTGGGGATATAGCTCAGTGGTTCCAGCACCTGCTTTGCAAGCACAAGGACCCAAGTTTGATCCTGATACCAAAAAACAAAAAAAAAAAAAA